TATACATCATCTAATGGAGACTTAATAATGGAAAATGAATATACAAGGTACGACACCATATTTACAAGGAATGCTGTGTCCGTGATTTATGCTAATTGGTCCATGAATTGTGCTGCAGCTGTTAGACATGTTCTGTAGATGGCAAGAAGCTAAGATCATGGATCTGTGCTTGTAGTATGACCTGTATCACTTGTATGCTGTAATACCCTCCCACAAGATGGAGAATAGAAGTTTACNTAGTAAGTTTGGTGTTTATTTTATTTCTGGTAGTAAGTTTGATGAGCTTTTATTGATTAGAACTGGCAGGTTTCATTCTAATGCCATTTGTGGTATTTCCACTCCACCTGCGTTCTGGAAAAATTAGAATCAGTTGTGGTTTTTCTTTCATTTTGTTAATTACATTTTCAGACTATATTTTTTGTTGAAGAGGCTATCAGTTGCAGATATTAGAGAACTCATTTCTTTGGATGTTTGGCTGCAATATTACTTGCTTGTTTGAAACATTGACTAAAATATTAACTTATTACGTGGAAACAAATATTCAACAGCTGCGGCTAGCAACAAAAACAGAGACAAAGCAACAATGAATTAAGTTGAAAGAATCAAAATTAGCAGTTTGGTGTGGTTTTCCGGGGAGGTGTTTGGGTTCATTGCGGCAAAATCAGCAGGTTCATAGCGGCAAGATTTAATTGATTTCTTAATATGATAATGGTAAATCAGCAGGTCGTTTGATGGATTCACGGCAGCCGGCGACGTCGATAACAATTTCAGGTCTCTGATCTGTGGGGAGTTTATGGGAAGTTGCGGCCGGTTTTGCTAGGCTTGGAGAAAGGGGAAGTGAAGGAAAGTGTTTTGATGGTTTTCATTTGGGTTAGGTTTCTTTGGTTTTCAATTTCACGCGTTAGGTTTGACTTTTCATTTTTTTTCTTTTTTAAAGTGGTTGCCAGCTCATCTGGTGCCTTTCTGGAGAATGGGTTCTGTACGTCTAGCACGGTTGATTTTTTTTTTAACTTACCATGAGAATTCGTCGAGTGTCTGTCTATTTAAAAATTTGTCAATGAGTCTATTTCTGTAGTAGGATTTTAAAATGTTTCATTTGTTGTAAAATAATGAGATAATTATTTAGTATTATCATAATATATAGATAAATCTTATCTAGTTCAAAGAGTTTATTTCATTCCAATCGTAACTCCTATTTCATACCTTATAAATACTGATTTTAATTCTCAATAGAAGACACACTTGAGTTTTAACTCTTATATTTTTTTTCTCTTCTTGTATTATTACTTTTATTTCATAACACATTATCAACACAAAATCTTAATTTTTCAAATTATAGTGAAGATAGTAATTTTTTTAAACATAATCACATAATTTGAGGGCATGTGAATTTTTCTACATTCATGTGCATCAAAACAAGCATGTTGCTGTTGATGCTGCTTCACCACTTTCGTTTCTACGCATTAATCCATGATTGTCAATTCGTGCCTAATTAAATCACTCATAATGATTTTCGTTTATACATTTTAATCCATGTATTATTGCAACCATCATTGTGTCCGATTGCGTATCTGTAATTTTTATTGCCTGTTCGCGTGTTAATCAACTAAGATTCATGTCTATAATTGAACAAAAACCATATATTTAATGAATTCACACCCGTACATGTTTGCATTAATGAATTCACGTCTTTTTTTTTTTTTTTTGTGTAATTAGTTTCTACAATTGGCTTCTAACTTATTATGTTGTTTCGAAAGTAACCATTATAAATAATATTCTTGAAGAATATTACTTGCTCTTGAAGAATATAAATTATAAGTTTTTATATTTCGAAAGAAGTAATATTATGATACACCGTACCCCTGAAGTAACACATGTTTCGAAAAACATATTATTTTAAGTTAGTGTTTATCCCTGAAGGAAAACACATACCTTATGTCATGTTGATATTAACTATTTGATATTTAATCATATTTTTTGAAACTAATTTTATTTCCTTTTACTTTATTGTGGAGTTAATCAAATGACAAATATCACAAAATTTGAGTTTGTCGCACTGGACATATCTGGCAAAAATTATTTGTCATGATACTCGATACTGATATTCATCTTGTCGAAAAAGGTTAGTGAGAGATAATAAAATTAAAGAAGGAAACTAAGTTTTATTAATATTCAATAAGAAATAATTTATCGTTCCAGAAGAGCATCCAATTCGATGTTTCAATATTCTAAAGAATATCATACTAGTGTTACTGAAAAATCATAGATCTTGAAATACTA